AATGTGCGAGTGAATGTGAGTGCGAATGGTTGTCTGTGCCTGTGTGTTAGCCCTGCGACAGACTGGCGACCTGTCCAGGGAGTACCCTGCCTCTCGACCTATGACAGCTGGGATAAGCTCCAGCACCCCCCGCGAACCTGAAAAGGATAAGCGGAAGTGTGAATGGTTGGAAGAACAAGTGTCTAAGAATGCTGTTAGAAATGAAACTCCAAGTCCTTACTGAAAAGAAGGAAGACTTTTTTTTTCGGTTCAGTGTTATCCTCAGATAAGAAACCCTGATTTATCCCCTAGAGGCAAGTACATTCATCAATGAATGAACAGCCCCCATGACTAAATGAATCTGCTGCCAGTCTGCTGCTTTTCTGGCACCAGACATCAGTAATAATGTTTCCCTGTGCTGACAAGTTCAAAGCTGGTTTGGTGTCATGCATTTCTTCCTTAGATACATAAACGAATTCTGTCGCAATCAAAATTTGATAGATTGTTGTGGCTTCAGTTCAGACACCTATGTTTCTGAGTCAGTGAATTGTCATTCATGTTCCACTCTTCTTGCAAATTTTAATATCTCAATATCTTCCAAACTGTAAAGAAAAAGTTCTTGTATGAATGGGTGTGAATGGGTGTGAATGGGTGAATGACGCAAGCTCTATAAAGAGCTTTGAGTGTTCAGGTAGAGTAGAAATGCACTATATAAGAAGCAGTCTATTTGCCATTCCCCATTACCATACAGTACTGTGCAAACGTTTTAGGCAGGTGTGAAAAAATCCTGTAAACAAACAATGTTTTCAGAGATATAAATGATTGCTTAGTGGCGCTAAATGTGTTCTTGCAGGAGGACAATTACCCTAAACACACAGCCAAAGTCATTAAGAACTATCTTCAGTGTAAAGTAGAACAAGAACTACTGGATGTGATGGCATAGCCTCCACAGAGCCCTGATTTCAACATCATCGAGTGTGTCTGGGATTACATAAAGAGACAGAAGGATGTGAGGAAGCCTACATCCACAGAAGATCTGTGGTTTGTTCTCCAAGATGTTTGGAACAACCTACCAGCCGAGTTCCTTCAAAAACTGTGTGCAAGTGTACCTGGAAGAACTGATGCTGTTTTGAAGGCAAAAGGTGGTCACACCAAATATTGATTTGATTTAGATTCACTGCATTTTGTTGATTGATGAAAATAAATGAGCAACACTTCCATTTTTGAAAGCATTCTTTGCTTTCAGGATTTTTTCCTCACCTGACTAAAACTTTTGCACAGTACTGATAACTGAGACATTTTTTTTCAGTTGAGCAAGAGTGTTGTCAAAAATGTATTTTGCCTATTTGGGGCAAGCTTTCTTGTAACTTAAGTAGTCTTCAGGAACAGCTGTTGGATGTTTGCTGCCTTTTGTTTCATTCTAGGTCAAGTTGATCTCACACTGATCCCATAATGACGCAGTCCAGGCTGTAGGGAGGCTTCTGTCAGTGTGCCCCAGGGTGGCTGTGGCTACAATGTAGCTTGCCGTCACCAGTGTGTGAATGTGTGTGTGAATGGGTGGATGACTGAACGTGTAAAGCGCTTTGGGGTCCATAGGGACTAAGTAAAGTGCTATACAAAGTACAGGCCATTTACCATTTACCATTTAATAATAGTGTTTCGTTGTGTGTTATTCTATCCAGGTAAGCTTTTACTATGCTAGCAGTGTGTTTGGGATCACTGTCAAAGTGAAAAATTAAGCCATTGCCAATCAAATGCTTTCTGGGTGGTATTGCATGAGGGATTAAAATAAAAATTTTGCCAATTTTTTTCCCTCCAATTTTTTAAGCTGCACATCATGACAAGATATGGTTTCAGTTAATAGCTCCTTAAGAATCACCTTATTGGTGCAAAAATACTATTTTATGCCACACTGTAG